TTCTAAAAAACACAAAAGAAAGGAGGGTGTTATAGATAGAAATAATGTCCCAGTAAACATGCTGATATGCTAACTTCTGGAACCTGTATCTATGTCCTGGTACATGGAAAGGAAGAACTACGTGCCCAGATGCACACTGATCAGCAGGAGCAGGAATCTGGGCTGGGGAGATTATTCTGAATCACTCAGGTGGATATCAATGTTCTCAGAAGGGCCCTTAGAGGAAGACTGAAGTAGAAGCACAGGCCATAGTGGTCCAATGTGAGAAGCACTTGACCTGCTCCGCTGGCTTTGAAGATGGAGGAAGGGGCTCAATCAACACTTCTCCAAGATAGAAGGCAAGAACACTGATTATCTTCTAAAGCCTCCAGAAAGGAGTGCGGCCCTGAAAGCAACTTGATTTTATCCCAGTGGCTTCCATTTTGGACTTCTGACCTTTAGAACTATCAGTTAAAAAATCTGTATGGTTTTAACCTATGAAGTTGCTGGGAATTTGTTATAGCAACAATAAGAAACAGAAGGTGAGTGATGAAGGGGAGGGACTGAGAGGCAGGTAGACTGTCTACATTATTATGAGCCATGAGAGCTTAAGTAAGGGAGTTATCCCTTTAAGGCTCTGATGTTCTCATTCTTACCTTTGAATACCGTACTTAAGGTGGGATTTACCAGTAGGTATTGCTACAATTGGAATTTTTATTTTTAATTTCTTATAATGACTTTTTAAAAGCTGTGCTATGGTTTAGATCGGGTTTGCATGTGTTCTCACCCCTTAGTGGTCTAATTGGGTGGGATTAAAGCAGTTCTTATGGGACTCTTACTTCCTGTGAGAGGGAGTTTTTACAAAAGAGCCTTTCCTGTCTCGCCATGCAATATACCTTTTGCCTGTGTTCTTGCCATTGTCTTTCATCATGAAGTGACATAGCTACTGGGCTCCTTACCTGGTAAGGAGCTACACTATAGTTTGCTACACTATAGGTACTCACCATTGCCAGCCCCTCCCTCCACAGTACTTGGTGTTAAGATGTACTATGAGGATTCCAAAAGAAGAGAGTAAGGAAACAAATACAAAATTAACACAGAAAAATGTATCAAGTCTGAAGTGTCTAGGATGGGGATCCACACCACTCACCGCTCTTTGGGGCAAAGTTGCTGTCTCTGAGTTCTATAGGAACTTTCATAACACAAGAGTTGCAGGACCCTATTGTTTCAAACTATGAGCTGAAAAGCTCCAGTTCTGCTGCTGCTGCTTCTTCCTCTTCTTCTTCTTCTTCCTCCTCCTCCTCCTCCTCCTCTTCTTCTTCTTCTTCTTCTTCTTCTTCTTCTTCTTCTTCTTC